GTTTAACTAATGAATGACAATCTAAGTACAGAAAGAGACTACTGGCAATTCAACCACTGCTGTTGCATTTTTATATTCCACTGGTTTCCAGTTTTTCTAGTTTACAAAATCTACCAACAAACTCCTCTTCAGAGTGTAAAAACTAGATAGTATAGAAGAAGACAAAAATGATGCAAGTACAATACAAAGTCCATAATCCGGACTCGTCGGGACCTGTGCGATTCCGGATTATAGATCATCAATTTAAATCTGGTAAGATGGCATGCAGAAATTATACAATTAAATATATGAAACCGTAATTTAGGAAATAAAGAGCAATTATGATTCAAAAGGGTATCAAAATTTACAAAACAAAACAAACAAACAAAAAAGCTTAATATTTATTTGTTTACGTTATTAAACATTTCTTTCAATGTAAGTTGCTTCATTTATTGTGCTAATACTTTCTCTTTAATTCTATAAACAGACATAACTTCTTGTTCAGTTACAAAGTTCCACTGTTCAAATCCTGTAATTGCTGTGTCGAGAATACCGACTAACTTATCAATCGAAATTTTTTTGTTTCAATAACCTCTCTGTCAATTTATTCACTATCGGAAGCGGTATTTTCTGGATTTAGAACCATACTCATATTTCGCCGTCTGTTAATTGATTGATGATTGGTGCATTGTCGTCGCAATGAAAAACTTCTGTTATATCTTCTTCATTTACTACCGATTCTCCACATTTCTTTACAAAATCCAATAACTGGAAAATTTTACCTTTAGTTTGCCATGCCCGAAAACCTTCAAATTCGTGGCTATCATGTTCATCGTCCTCACCATGGTAGCTGGCCAAAAATTACGCCCAACATTTTTTAACGTATCTGGAGACACATCCTCCCACGATATTGTGATGCTCCACACAGCAGATTTTATGTTAAAAAATTTCAAAATGTCTTGAATAGTCTTTCCATTGTTTAAGAAATTTAACATAGATTTTAAAAATGCTATTTTATATTTGCATTTGAGCGCGTGCACTATTCTCATATCCATAGGCTGAATGATAGACGTACAATTTGGAGGGAAGAATAATATGGATACATTATCTTTCCCTGAATCTTGAAGTGAAGTATGCGCCGAACAGTTGTACACAATCAGGACTATTTTTGAGTCATCAGGTAAACCAACCAATTTCAAATGTTGCCGAGCCTCAGGTATAAAATGATTTTTGAACAAATCATTCATCAACGCTTGTGTCATCCATGCTCATTTATTTGCACGATATATAAACGGGGAAAATCGTTACTGCTTTAAATGCTCGAGGTCGTGCATGTTTTCCGACTACGAAAAGTTTGCACTTGTGCATTCCTACAGCATTTGCGCAGGCTAAAATTGTTAGTCTTGCCTTGGAATCTTTGACACCAGTTGGAGCCTTTTCTGTATAGGTTTTCAAGGTATTTCGTGGTACATATTGCCAGAAAAGACCAGTTCCATCAGCGTTGTAAATTTATTCTGGAGATAATTGTTTATTAGTAATGAGTTCAATGAATTCATCTGCAAATTGTTCAGCAGCTTCAGTATCATCTGAAGCTTTTTCACTTGAAATTTTTGTCTCATATCATGGTGATTTTTAAATTTGGTTAACCAACGTGTCGAATATGTGCATTCTTCATGAAATATTTTGGCTTGAGCCATCAGCATTGGACTCGTCGATGTGCGCATTACGCACATCGTCGCTGCGACCTGTCTGATCGATTCAATCATCACTTTGTCATGATCGTCACTTTTAGCATAACAAACCCTTTTTCTGTCATTTATTGCAAGTGGGGTGTTGGAATCCACAAAAAATTCAAAAAGTTCATTTTTCTTTGTGCTTATGTTATATACAGTTGACTTTCCAATGTCATACTCCTCGTGAGAGACATGCCTTTATCCATTTTTTGCAGCAATCCAACTTTTTGTTTGATGGACATCGAAACATGCTTTCGCTTTGTAGATCCTTTGGCAGCTCCAGAATTGGAAACTTTTTTTGACATAATCGAAAGTTCAAGCTTAATTTTTATAAAATTGCACTAACAGTCTGTAAAAAATAGTAAGCCGGATCCAATTAGAAGATTAAGAAACAGCGCAATCTGCAACATTAACTGAAATTCCTTAGATAATTTTAGCCTAGCTTATACCATCCATTATACATTAAACGTGCATGCGTAAAGCATATAACAAAAGTTTGTGGCTTTGAGTTCCGGATTATAGATCATTCCGGATAATGGACGTCCGGATTACGAACGTATTAAATTATTGTACTGTATTAAAATTTTAACTTAAAATAAATATTTTGAAAAAGAAAAATATTACTTTACTGATTAAAATGAAATTTAAATAAATCCTGGCCTTTTTTTTTTTAAACAAATAGGGAATAAAGAATGCGGTTCAGTTTAAAACTTTAATTAAACTTTAGAATTAATTATTAACGCATTACGCACATGCGTAAAGCATACAAAAAAAAAAAAAAAAGACTTTATGGCTAAAAGGTCTGGTTTATAGATTATTCCGGATAATGGATGTCCGGATTACGGACTTTCTACTGCATTTGAAAAAAAATTTCAGAACTTAACGCTTAAATGCTAAGGGGAAAATATGCGAGGAAATATGGTGTCGCTGTTGGAAAAAACTAAACATTCTTTTGCCGGTATTGAAAACAAAAGTTTCTGAAAGAAGGAAATTGGAAGAATGAACAATTTTCTTAAAATCTGTTTTGAAGAAGTTGCATGTTCAAGATGGAAATATTTGGATATTCAAACTATATTTTGCTGAAGTTTATCACACACTGCTGTGTGTCAGATATGAAAGAATATTGGCTTATGCTAAAAGAACATGAACTAACATAAGTGTATATGGTGGGAGACTGTTTTTCAACTGAATGGCCATATAAATTTAAATTACATCATAAAATATCATAAGCAGAGAATCCACAGATGTCCCAGATAAATTTATTGAAGATTCAATAATTTATCTACATAACTGTATGAATATTAGCTTAAGGTGTTTGCATTGATGATGAAACCAGTCTTTTCATGCCTCTCATGCCTTCAAAACACTTAAACCTCTAAAGACATTTAATATCAAAGTCAAAACTGCTTCACTATTTTACTTTGATATTGATGAAATGGAAGACGACACCACTATTAGTAAGAATGTCACAAAAATCAAGCCATTTTAGAAGTGTTTGTAAAATATAGCTGAAATAAAAGGGGAGCGAAATGACTATAGAAAGATATATGTGAATAGCAGGAGTGCGACAACTCAGCATGACGAACTGTATCGCAATACGATGGGCGAAAAAAGATAAGGAGGTCATGCTTTCGACTAAGATGTAACCTCTCAAACATCACTCTTTCTTTCCATTTGTAAATAGTCACTAATGTATCTCCAGAAATAACTAAATAAAATACTTTAGTTACCTAGGCATGTATCGTCAGTTTAGAAATTTCCTAGATGCTGAGTTTACATATATGCAGAATGTATCAAGAAAATCATTAAAGTCTTCTTGAAGCAATAAGGCATTAAGAAGGAAAATCCCGCTCCCCAAATTTACTTTTCTCTATGTTACGCTACTTGATTCCTGCAATTTTAAAAAAGAAAAAATTGGTTTTATTTGGAAATATGGATAATATTTTAATAATGTAAAAGTACGGTGATAAAATTATGAAAATGGCACAATGATAAAACTGTAATGTAGTGGAAAATCATGAGTATGCATATCATTTCATATTAAAACATTGATTATATATCTTACTGAATGGCTCACTGAAAAACACATTAACTGTGCCTTATAATATTTTGCTTTCAATGTAATATGCAGTTTTCATATGTTCAAATGCCTCATAATGAATACTAGATCATAAGGATTTTGAGCAAATATAATTCACCAGGCAAGTCAAATAATTAAAATAAAATTTAAAAAAAAATTATCTAAAAAATCTGTGATTCAAAAATATATATATATACTTTTTAAAAGGTGGGTGGCAAGGCAATCATGCCCTGGAGACAGATGAAAAGCCACAACTGCATTGTGTCTCGGACTATCGGGAATAAGAGAAGATTTAAAATTCTCTAACTTTTTAAGGCTGAAAGAGTCTGAAGATCTTGTAAGATATTAGACGTAAATATTTTTTTTTTAAACAGTTTAATCCTCCAATAATAAATGGCTGAATTAGGATGTTGTATAAGTGACCACCTCTTTTTGCATGGAAGTCCTCTTGTTCATTGCCCCAAAATATAATATAAAAGTATTTCAAAGAAAGAAGAAAACGAGGCATTTTCCCACACATTCAGAATAAACGAAAAAAAGCCTCACATAAACTGAGAAGCTCACTAAGTGATTACTCTTGGTGGAAAGTGAAAAAAGTGCACTAAAATATGTTCTCGAGTTACTCAATTTCTCCCTAAATTTTACAAAATTTCGTGTTTAGGCAAAATATGTGTCATAAAACTAATGCATGGGGGGTCTCGAGTTACTCAATTTCTCACTAAATTTTACAAAATTTCGTGTTTAGGCAAAATATGGTCATAAAACTAATGCATGGGGGGGGGGGGAAGGATGCCATTTCAGATAAAATCAAATTTTTTTTTGTTAATATATACACATAGTAAATTTAGATGGTAAAATACACAGAAATAAAATTTGGCTAATAATCTAAAATTCGACTTTTCTTCCATTTATTCTTGAATAGGCTCGATTAAAGTGCCAAGTGTATTATGGGCGCAATCGTCAACTGAAATAAAGATGAATATTTAATCTGCCTCAGCAAATTGTATGAAAATATATTAAACAATTATGCTTTTAATAAAAAAACTCATATATATATATATATATATATTTTTGTGATATTTTAGATATATATATACGTATATATTTTATAATTAAAATATTTATATACAGCTTTTTTTTTTTCTTTTTAACTAATGTTTATAAGACATATATGACAAAGCATTTATAAGCGCAATAAAAGACCATACCTTTGATCTGCTATTATTTTTAACAGCATCTTTTTCATTATTGTAGGGAATACTTGACGTTTCACATGGTTCTTCATCCTCATCGTATGAAGAGTCAAATGAATTGTCATATGTTTCTGGCCGACTTCTAGCAGAAAATTTTATTTAAGACTTCAAATATTGTTAAAATATATGAAATGCATCAATTCTAACCAAAGGCATAAATAAATTTATCAATTATGTAATGCTTTAAATGAAGATAAGTTGGCTAATCTTTGGAATACGGTAACAGGTAGTTTGGCAACATTTTGGTAAGGTGATAAAGGTTACTAGCTCTGACTTTAACAGTGTACATGGATAAAGTCAAGAGTGTGCACAATGCCATTTTTGTGCAATTCTGGGATGTTTTTTTTAAGTGAAAATAGGTCGACATGTACATGGATACCGTGTATGTGCAATTCTTAAAAACGCGGCAAGCAGTTTGCGATTCTGCACTTTCTCCCAATTTTGCACCTAATCTTCATCAAGATGAAGCACTTTTGTTCGATAAAAGTTCTAGCATAAGTGTAATTCGGCTAGCAGATTGTTGGGAAAAAATGTTGAGTAAAAAAAAAAGGGGAGGGGAGGAAGCATTTACTTCGTGAAAACAAAAACTAGCAGGTTGCTGTAGCAGGGCTGGTCGCCAAATTTTTGCCAAGTTACCATAATCCCAAGATTAACCAATCGGTTATCAAAGTTCTATGTTTTAAGCATTAAGCATGAAATTTTAGATTTCAAAGCATTAAATTGCATTTATATTGAATACTTTTAATACTGAATAAAATCGTATTAATGAAAAACATTTGAAAACAGTACAAGAATGAATCTCATTCTTAAGTAATTAATTAATTTTACATGTATCTAATGTAGTCTTTGTTTACAGTGTTATGAAAAGTATCAGACTTTTACAACTATCTGCTAATCAAAATATCATTTTTAAGCTCTACCAAAGGAAATGGTTGTGACATGCATTAAAATTAAAAGTTAGTTAAGTTTAATGACACAACAAATATTTAAACAAAATACATACCTATTAAAAATTTGAAAACTAATAATTATATGAAAATTAACTGATATTACCTCATTTTTTATGTTTTATATAATTTATATCTCGTGAAAATATAAATTTATTGGAAGGTTTCTCAACTCAGGGCAGAGATTCTCAACTCTAAGGAATCCCCCTGCCAAACTGGGATAAAATTCCAAAGTGTTTTGGGGAGATGCAGTTAGCCATTAATTGATTAGTTAAATACTTAGTTTGCAATTATAAAAATGTAAGTATTCAAAAGTATGGATTTTGAGAACACAAGTATACATAGTTAGGACTTAGTGGGTGGAGAGAAGAGTTATGAAAAATGGGTTAATTACAACTCGTAATATTTCGTCTAACATCAAATTCCATTTCAGTTGTCACATTAATCTGTTTTCTTTATTAAAATTCAATGATTTCATTTCCATAGAGAATACAACAGAACACTCGTATGCTTGGATATAAACTGAGAAACTCTGCCAGAAAGAACCAAGAGTTTAACTCTTATCGAGTACAGGCATAAATCTTTCGGCAAGCCTGTTAACAGCTTGGCAAGCAGAAACTGTTTCCTGAATAAAAAGATGACCGTCAAGTTATATGGAATTTCCAGCAAACTGGAATCAAATTTGAGAGACTCTAGTGTAGTTATGTTCTATTTGTTTTCATAATTATCATTATAAAAAACAAGAAAATACTGTTACGAAACGTCCAGCCACAGTAAGATAGTTACCCCTCAAAAGGGATTTAGGGCTGCCAGATTTTGCGCATAATCATCAATTTGGAAACGTGCCATATGTGGAATGAGAACAGTCTAGAACAAATTCTATCAGGAATTTATCATGAAGACTATCTTGAGTGCTCCAAGAGTGATCGACTGAGTCGAGAGCTGTATTTTGAATTGTGCCATGAAGCTATTTTCATTATTATATCCTGAAGGCTGTGTTGCCGATTATTTCAGCGTATTTATCGTAGTTTTACGATGACTGTAACATGTCTTTGGAACAGTCCTGCAAAAACTGATGAATAAATTGTATTCTGATTCTTCATTAAGTGTTGCGGTCGCTCACTCCAAATACATGAACCCGTAGAAAGCAACAACTGGTGTCAGAAGTGGGATTTGCGAGTGAATGCCAGTGACTTGCCTGCAGCAGAAAGCCATGGGGAAGGAAATGAAGGCTTTGACGAACTTCTTAACCGCTGTAAAAGTCGGACAGGATGAGATGAAGGCTGCAATGAAAGCCGGACAAGAAGAATTAGTGAGTGAAATAGCATCGTGTCGAGTAGAAATAAAAGCTGGACAAGAAAAGCTGCAAGGGCAACTCCAATGGATGGAAGTGAAGCAAAAGATTAGAAGTGGTATCTTGGAGTTAAGAAAGAGAAAACTGAAGCTAAAACAGAATATGTGAAAATGACAGTAGTGGCATCTGAAGAATCAAAGGATGAAAAAATGATGGAAGTAGCCAATGAACTGTCTGAGAAAGATGAAGAAATGAAGGATGAAACATCTAATCAGATTAAAAAAAAAAGAACGAAAAGATGAAGAAGTGAAAGATGTTGATTTCCCGCATGCCTGGGAAGAAGCTTTTGATCCTCAGGTGTCTGAAGTTGAAACGGAAGAAAGTGATAATACTGTTTTCAAAGATGAAGAAATCCTTATTCTCAAGTGCCTGAAGTGATGGAAGAAAGTGGAAATGTGACTAAGTTGGTAGAAAGCGAAGTTACAAAGTATGATCGTGAAGTTATGAAGCTGAGTTAGCAATTATTGAACCATCTGAAAATTCATGTCATGCAGAGATAGCAGATATAGGAGAAGCTGATGTACAGCTTAAGCAGTGTTCCAGTATTGCAAGAAAATATCTCCACGTCACAAATTGTGTGCCTCATAATACAAGTTTCACAGACACAAACTTGATTCTAAACCAGGCTATTTCTTTTTGTAAAGAAGTGGATCCTAGTCATAACTCTAACGCAAAAAATCAGAACTGGTTTTCAGGAAACATGCATGTACCAAATGCTGAAAATACCGAGGTGAACTGTACACATAATGCAAATGCACTACAGAGTTATGAGCAAACTGTTTCAGAACTTCCCGTGGATGAAAAATCTGAAAGGACTACTGAATCTTATGATTGTGGTATGCAAAACAGAAATACATCTGAGAATTGCAGTGGAAAAATAATTACCCCGGGTATAACTTAATGAAAAGTCCAAGACTGAAATTCATTTTGAAATTTAATTTGTATAATTTAAAACTGTTATGTGGTTAATTTGTGCATATAACTTGTGAACAGTGTAAATACTTGTTTCCTTATTATCTTATTTGTTTGTATCGAATTTGGCTTCTGACAAAGGATTGTGCTGTCCGGGAGTGCAATCCTTAGGAGGGGGGGGGGAGTGTTACAAAATGCCCAACCATGGTAAGATAGCTTTTCCGCAAAGTAGATTTAGGGTTGCCAGATTTGACGCAAAATCACCCATTTGGCAACATGCCATAGACGGAGCGAGAAGATTCTAGAACGAATTCTTACCGATTTACCTCAAATGTTCTCGAAGGCAGGTCAAAAGCATATCAACTTGGCAGTATGTGGAGTAGAAGTGTAGCGTTGTGCGCATCAGGAGTTTATCCTGAAGAGTATCTTTGTGATGAGCTCTGAGAGCGATCGGCCGAGTCGGGAGCTGTACTCTAGTGCAGGTGTTCTCAACCGGTGGTACGCAAAATACTTTTTACTATTAAATTCAAAAATTAAAACCCCAACATCCTGATTGAGTTTCTTCTCTAACACTAGTAAATTTATGCGATCCGAGCTTTGTTCAAGAGTGGTGGTGTAGTAGTACTTTGTAGTGGTGGTAAAGTTTTGTTTAGATGGTACACGTTAGTCAAAAGGTTGAGAACCGCTGCTCTAGTGCTTTGCCATCAAGCTGCCTTCACAACTGTAGCCTGAAGGCTGTGTCGCTGATTGTTTCAGCGTGCTTATCATAGTTTTTTTATGACTGTAACGCGTGTTTGGAACTGTCCTGCAAAATACTGACAAATAAATTGTGTTTTGATTCTTCATCAACAGTTGTCATCATTTACTCCAAATCTACGAACCCGTAGAATGCAATAATACAGCACAAAATTCAGAATGATCTACTATCTGGATCTCCCCTAAAGCCTTTTTTTAAAAAAAGCTTTCTTTTTCTTATGCATTGTAGGAATAAAATATGATAATAAAAAAAGCTTATGTATCTATGAAATATAATAATAAAAAAGTAGGTGTGCCATAAATCAATTTTTATCACGACTGGCTCAGATATTTATTTTGCCTAAAAACATCAATATCCACAACAATATTGAAAGATTTTGCATCTTGTTTCGCTTGCCGGCCAATAAAACAGTTTCACTTTCAGCTCTCGAGCAGTGTGTGGAGAAGGGAGCAATTCAACATTCTCTTGTCTTATTAACCCTGTGCATAATAAGTGAAACCCAAAAACTAATGTCTGAGTGAGTGAGTGTTATGCATCCTGGCTTTCATTTGTTTGCATAGCATAGAAGAAGGGAGAAAGATCTCGATTAACATGTTCGCTGCCACTGAACTACCTCGTATGCCGGCGATGTTCGACTAGATTGTCACTGGCACACAGATGATAAATTGAACATGTTGTTCCACTGACACTCTAGAGCGTAGGAAAATTTTTTTTTACAGAAAACATAAAAAGAAAAGATTTTTTAGTTTTTCTACTAAAATATAAGGAACGCTTTTAATCATTAAAACATTATTTTGTAATTTGACTTCTGATGATAGATGTATCAATTTTACTGGCAGCGAATGTGTTAACTGAAATCCAGCGAAACGAATGTCACTAAACCGATTAATCAAACACCACTAAAAACTGCACTCTTTCTCAACTTTCTTATTTCACTCATTTTATTATTTTATTCAATCTAATTATTATTATCTTATTAAAATTAAAGTTTTAGAAAAGGATAACATCACTTTCACTCTTTCTCTGAAAACTATATTTCCATCAATCAGCCAAAGAATACTAATAGAAAATATCACCATTTCAGGTTCCAGTCATTTCTTAATTTCATGAAGTTGCTATTCAAACAATACTGTTTGTGAAGCATAACTGTTTCTTGAAGGAATCAGATAAATGTTTGCCTATCTCTTGGCAAATCCCAAATACCCATTTCGGTTAAAAAAAAAAAAGTGCTTACATAAGGAAAGAAGTCAAACCAAACTCCTGATGCCAGGCACTGAGAAAACACACGCATAAATGTGCAAAATAAATAAATGAAAATGCAGCAATCAGTTTTCACAGGGAGGGGGGAAAAACAGTGAATCTTTCCACTAATGGAATATGTGAGGCAATGGAAAGAAATACTAAATGAAGATGACAATTAAAGTCTTTATTGTGATAACAATGTGACTCCGATCAATCAATGAGTGGCAAAATCTGCGGTTTTAAATCCTGAATATATCACCACAGTTTTTGAAGACTGTAATATTCTTGAGAATAAAAAGACCTCAACTGAATATTTCTACGAAATAAGAAACTTCCGACATAGCAATTATAGGATTTAAACAATGAAACGCAGTCATTAAACATGAAATACAGTCTCTGTATAAAATTAAAGAATTTTTTTTTTTAAATAAAAAAGAAAGAAATTGTACAATAAATACCTTTTAAAAGAAGGTTCAAAATCACTATCAGAATCTTCTTCCGATCCATCAGAATCTTTTGCTGAATTCTCAGCAGTTGTAGAAGTTCGACTTCCATCTTGTGCGTTTAAAGCACTACTGAGAAAAGGGACGGTCCTTTCATCATTTGGGATATCAATGGCATAAGCCTGTTTCAAATCATTAAATCTACACTCAGAAACAGATCCTTCAATATTAGATTTTTCTTCAGATGATTCTGCCAAATTCAGTGGATTATTAAATTTATTAATTTGAGCATAAGAAGCAGAAACTTTTACAGACACTTTTCGATCAGAAACTCTACTACAGCCTTCATCACAATTCTCTAAATCCGTTTCATACTCATAATTTAATATATCTGATAAAATATTATCTTCAAATTTTTTATTATTTTGATCAACTTTTGATCCAGGATCTGATATAAAAGAACTGGTTGAATGGGTGTCTAATTTACATGCTAAGGAATTACTTTCATATCCAGAGTTTTTATAGGTAGGTGAAAAATTAAGTGTTTCAATTTCAAGATTGCCACTTAGACTTTCAGGGATGTCATGGTTAATTAAATCAGAGTGTTTATTATCTCTTTTACACAGACAATTTGAATCTACGTTTGCAGACCTAGATTTCATATGGTTTAAATTTGGGGAGCTTGAATCCGAGTTTTCGTTAGCACTGACAGTATTAGATGAAACTTCTTCATTTAATTCCTTTTGAAGATGACATTTATTATGTATTCCATCAGTAAGCAATACACCATTTCTTTTCAAAGCAATTTCAGAATTGGATTTCTTACATTTTTTGACAGAATACGATTCTTTAGGAGATTTAAGAGATCTTTCTGACTTAGAATGACAAGAAGAATTAGTTTTCAATTTTTTTTCAGAACAAGATGAAACTTCTAACTCATCAGTCAACACTTGCTGACCCGGCACCAAATAAAGAGCTTCCATGAAGTCAGATGACATATTTCCCAATGATTGTGAAGAATGTAAGGCATAATCTTCAGCAGAATTAATCTCCTTTGCATTATTTTCATTAGTATGTAAAGTGAAATGTTCCTGAATTTTCTTCTTTTTTCTGGGTTCTGGCATATCTTCATGTATTTTTCTTTTAATATTAATATTTACAGAATTTAAAGATGCATTTTTTGATTCTGAACATTCACCAGCTACTTCAGTATTACACTCAGAATTTAATGAATTAAAACCTTCACCAGATCTAGAATCAGATTTCCTACTTTTATAATATTCATAGGCAGCCTCAAAAGCATGAAAATCTAAAACAATATCAGGTACATTTTCATGATTTAAGTCAGGATAATTCGTGATACAGTCTAATTTTAAAATGTTAGTCAATAAATCAAATTTAGATTCATAATGTCTACTCACTGATGCAAATTCTTCAATTACTGAGGCTAATTCGACAGGTATACAATTTACATTTTCACTAAGTGGTTTAACAAACTGCCAACTGTTTTGATCAACTTTTAATCCAGGATCTGATATAAAAGAACTCGTTGAATTATTGTCTAATTTACATGCTAAGGAATTACTTTCAAATCCAGAGTTTTCATAGGTAGGTAAAAAATTAAGCTTTTCAATTTCAAGATTGCCACTTAGGCTTTCAGGCATGTCATGGTTAATTAAATCAGAGCATTTATTATCTCTTTTACCCAGACAATTTGAATCTACTTTTGCAGACCTACTTTTCATATATTTTAAATTTGGGGAACTGGAATTTGAGTTTTCGTCAGCACTGTCATTATTTGTTACAGAGAGGAAGTCTTCTTTTAATGGTGGCATATTTTCACAAACAGATGAAGTTGAGCTCAAATCATTTAAGCCAGCTAAATTTAGTTCACCATCATCTGTACCCTGAGATAGTATTAAAAATTTTGAATTAGAATTTTTTTCTGGTTCAGGATGACTTTTGATGCGTGAATGCTTTTTGCAATTAGATTTAGTGCTGCTTTTCTTTTGTTTAGCACATGCTGTCTGTGATTTATTTTCTGATAAAGCACTCGAATTTGATATTGAAATATTGCAACTTTGCAAAATGAAGTTACTTCTTCCTTTAGATGCTAGTACTGGAGCAGCATTCTTGTCATGCACTTTTTTTCGGCAATTAGTTCTTTTCTTATTGATTCCATTACCGTTGCTCAGTTGATGATTTTTTAATCGACATTTTTCAGAGTTCATGTTTTGTTCTAAAAAAAAAAAAAAAAAGTAAAGGTTAAAAAATTACCCAGACACAAGATTTTTCTACATATTATTTCATTTTAAAATCTGGGAAAAAAATTTTTTTTTTTTGATCTGCTAGTGGCAGAAACTGGTTGAAACTGATAAAATAACTGAAATATTTTATCAATTAGTACTACTCACTAATTTATTAAATTAATTTTAAAACGTTAAAAACAGCATATATTTAAACACTTTGTCCTTGGTTATACCCTCTGAGGAGACATAAATCTGATAAAACATTGAGATGTCTATTCTCAGGGGACATTAAAATTTACTAGTGATTATGCAGGATAAACAAAAACCAGCACAACTTTTTTGAAGATGGGTTTCCTTTGAAATCTAATGTGGTATTAAAAATCAAACCAAAACATGGTTTATATATATATATACAGTCAAAAGTCGTTAATCCGGACTCGTCGGGACTTCGGCGATTCCGGATTATAGATCATCAGTTTAAATCTGTAAGATGGCAGCAGAAATTAATAAAATAAAAATATGAAACCGTAATTTAGAAATAAACAACATTTTGATCTAAAGGGTATCAAAATTTACACACACACACACACACACAAAAAAAAAAAAAAAAAAAAAAAGCTTCTTATTCATTTGTTTACTTTATTAAACATTTCTTTCAATGTAAGTTGTTTAAGTTGCTTCGTTTTTTATGTGATAATACATTCTCTTTAATTCTATAAACAGACATAATTTCTTGTTCAGTTACAAAGTTCCACTGTTCAAGTAATAATTGCTGTGTCGAGAATACGGACTAATTTGTCAATCGAAATTTTTTCGTTTTCAATAACCTCTGTCACTTTCTTCGCTATCGGAAGCGAATTATAATGACGAGGAATTTGATTTAAATCATATCAAAGATGGAGTACATCGAGATGAAATACTGCATTTAGTAAGGAATTATAAGCCAAATAAAATAAAAATATCTGCTCTGAAGATAAGGATAGTGCTGACAGATCAACTTCCAATTCATTGCGCACAGCGGCGCTAAAGATAAACAAAGTTTAGATAAACAAAGGATATGCCTTTATCCAATTTTGCAGCAATTCCACTTTTTGTTTAATGGACTTCGAAACATACTTTCGCTTTATAGATCCTTTACATATTAGTAGATATATATCGGAAATTCTATTTGACATAATCGAAAGTTCAAGCTTACTTTTATAAAATTGCTCTAACAGTCTGCAAAAAATAATAAGCCGAATCTAATTCGAAGATTAAGGAACAACGCAATCTGCAACATTAACTGAATTAGATAATTTTAGCTTAGCTTATAGCGTTGGTTATACATTAAACGTGCATTCGTAAACGTATTTTGCGCACGCGTATTCGCAGCCGTACAGGTCTTACGCACATGCTTTGTAGCTTTGAGGTCCGGATTATAGATCATTCCAGATTATGGGTGTCCGAATTAATGACTTTTGACTGTATATATATGAACGTAGCTACACAACATGAATTAGAGACCTTAGTGGTCAAAAATTCTGCATTGAGCTGCAAAATTTTAAAAAAAAGTTTATAAGAGGAATGTTAAAAGGCTAATGCTAAAAATACATTTGTCACTATAGTTCCTTAGCAAAACTGTAAAATCATGTAATCATGTATACTTCAGTGAAAAATTTTTTAAATCAAAATGTTAACCTTTAAACAGCTAATTCAATGAAAAATATTTTGATTTAAAAATTATTCACTGAAGTAGATTGTTTGTTTTTTCCCTTTCATTTTCAATATTTTAAAAAGAAAAAATTTTTTAAGATTATTTTAAAATTTAACAAGGTTTTACACTAAATAATTTTATTTATTCCCTTTTTGTTTTACAAGAGCAAAATTTTACTTAAATTTCATTCAATTAGTATGCTAAATTTAAATTTTCCTTGAAATATTTGTTTTCCTTTTAATTTCAAAATTACATTTACGTATGAAAAAAAAAAAAAAAAAAAAAAAAAAAAGATAGATTAATATCTTGCCAAGATTTTTTAATTTCGCCAATGAAACCAAGATGGCAAAACTGTACATATCGTTTTGTAATTTCTCTCTCATATTAGGACTACAGTCTAATGAGAGTAATGGAAGTTCTTAATAACTTTTTGTATGATCTAGGTTTTTCAACTATATCTTAATTCATTAGGTTAGCTGTTTAATGATTAACATTTTGATTTAAAAAATTTTTCACTGAAGTATTTTTATTATCAATTTTTTAAGGGATAGATTTCTTTTATTTAAGATTGTTCTAATATTTTCCTTAAAAATTAATTTCTAATTAGAATTTACTTTATTTTTTCCTTGCTTTGGGGAAGAGCCAGAATTTTCGGGTGAACTATTATAATTATAATTAAATACATTGAAATGGTTTTATTAATTATGAATTTCATTTTGGTCTTTGTTAAAATTTGTTCTAAATTTCTTACTTTATGTCTTTATATATATTTGCATATATATATATAATGAAATTATTGAAAAATCAATCTCGGTGTAAACAGCATTGTCATTTTGCAATGCACTCACCTAACAGGAAAACCATCCAACACTTTCTAATCAGTTTTTTTGGGCTTACTGTAATACGTCCACTTTCGGTTAACTAGGAAATGTGCAACTATTTGTTCACACAGCTTGGTTTCATTCATGCTTTTTGCAATAAGCCCAAAATAATGAAGACATACTCAGAAATATTGATAAAAGAGACTATATTTCTTTCTGTGCTAATCATCATAGACTTCTGGATCAGTTATCCATTACAGTCAAAAGTCGTTAATTCGGACACCCATAATCCGGAATGATCTATAATCCGGACCTCAAAGCTACAAACTTTCTGCGCATGCGTCGCTTTCACGCATGCGCACAGGCGTTTACGAGAGCGCGTAAGACCCTTACGGCTGCGAATATGTTTGTGCGCATGCGCGTGTAATGTGTAACGGAGTTACACGCTAAGCTAAAGTTATCTAATTCAGTTAATGTTGCTGATTGCGTTGTTCCTTAATCTTCGAATTGGATCCGGCTTATTATTTTTTGCAGACTGTTAGAGCAATTTTATAAAAGTAAGCTTGAACTTTGGATTATGTCAAATAGAATTTCCGATATATATTTACTACAAAGCGAAAGTATGTTTTGAAATCCGAAATCTGTTTATCAATTTCACGCTACTCTGCGGCAGAGGGGGGGCAGAAACGTCATTATTAGATTATGATAGATTAGAAAGATTATGTCAAATAGAATTTCCGATATATATTTACTAACATGTAATTTGTATCTACAAAGCGAAAGTATGTTTTGTAATCCGAAATCTGTTTATCAATTTCACGCCGCGGGTTGGAAGTTGATCTGTCAGCACTATCCTTATCTTCAGGGCAGATGTTTTTATTTTATTTGGTTTATAATTCCGTACTAAGTGTAGTACTTCATCTCGATATACTCCGTCTTTGATATGATTTAAATCAAGTTCCTCGTCATTATAATTCGCTTCCGATAGTGAAGAAAGTGACCCAGAGGTTATTGAAAACGAAAACATTTCGATTGACAAATTAGTCAGTATTCTCACCACAGCAATTATAGGACTTGAACAGCGGAACTTTGTAACTAAACAAGAAATTATGTCTGTTTAATAGAATTAAAGAGAAAGTATTATCACATAAAACGAAGCAACTTAAAGAACTTACATTGAAAGAAATGTTTAATAAAGTAAACAATAAATATTAAGCTTCTTTTTTTTTGTAAATTTTGATACCCTTTAGATCATAATTGTTCTTTATTTCATAAATTACAGTTTCATTATTTTTAATTTTATAATTTCTGCATGCCATCTTACCAGATATAAACTGATGATCTGTAATCCGGAAAAATCGATAATCCGGAATCGCCTAACGAGTCCGGAGTCCTAACGAGTCCGGATTAACTGACTTAACAGGTGACTTGATTAATTGATTTTGACTGTACTTAGTTATGAAAAAGGCAATAATAATAAAAGGGCATAAAGATCATCAGTACTTCCTTATTATAGCACCCGAGATATCTCGCCAAGTGTTTTTATATTTGCATTGTGTAACAGTTTTGTTTTAGCCAAATGTTCTTATATTAACACTGTCCATCATTTCTACTAAGGTTTTCAAATTCATATTGTAAAAACATTCCCTGCTTTTTGGTGAATATGTGGTTAACAATTTTTAATTTACTAAATAAAAAAGTAGATGCTATATATATATATATCTATATTTTTTTTTCAAGAAAGAGGTATTTTAACTGACAAACAAGTATGCAAAAATGGCCACAACATGAAACTATAATGTTAATGAAAAAACCATTTAAAGATGCAATGTTAAAAACTGTAAAAAAGAAAGACCTACATGTTGGAAATTGGTTCAGTGGTTCCAGATTACTGTTTCTTGCGGCTATTAGATTTATGTATTCTTGGGCAGAGGAACTGATGCCCATCAAATGGTGACAAAACTTAATACATGTGAAAAATGCTGCAATTTATTAAAACAGTTACACGTGGGAAGTTGTTCTCTATATAACTGATGCAAAGATTCAATGGGCGGATTGGCAGTCCTAATAAAATAGCTGAAACTGGTGAAAGTTTTTTCAACCGACAAAAAACAACAGGGCATTTTTGCTTGAATGTGTCGGGAAGATGGGAATTACTTTGTCATTCAAATCTTGAACAGAGAACTGGTATAATAGAAAAAATAATTCAACATGTGCAAGATGAATTAACGATCTATTCAGACTGCTGGAAGAGATGTAAAATGGAGCGACATGAAGAAGCTGGTTATAATAATTTTTCTGTGAACTATAAGTACAATTTCATTGACCCAACAACTGATCATCACATCCAAAATGTGAAGTTTAGCCAATTGGCATAATAAAAAACAAAGGGACACAGCTCGATATAACCTCAAATCATACCTTTCGGAATTTATGTGGAGAAAGTACATAGGAAAAAGTATGTTTTTGACAAACT